TCTCTCTCTCTCTCTCTCCTCTCTCACTCTCTCTTTAAAAAAAAAAAAAGAGGATGCCTTCACCAGTTAAAAAAAGAAAGAAAGCAGAGAAAATGTAACCAGCCTTGCACATAGCACCATGTTCTGTTTTCCCTGACTTGTCTCTCCAGAGGCCACCAGCTAACCGCTTTCTTTCATTTCGTTTTCCATGTGTTGGAACTGAAGGTGTTTCAGGTTGTCTCTCTCCTTTGAAAGGAGAAGAATAATAAACTTGCTAGGAAGCTGCGCATTGTGTTAGTCAACTGCCTTTCACTGTAACAAAATACCTGCGATAAAAATGACTTCAAAGGAGGAAAGATTTATTTTGGCTCACGGTTTCAGAGGCTTCAGTCCGTGGTTGATTGGCTGCTGGTCTGAGGGTGAGAGAGCACGTCACAGTGGAGCATGTGGAGGGGCGAAGCTGCTACCATCGTGGCGGCCAGGAAGAAAGAGAGAGAGTGGAAGAGGCCGGGTCACGAAACCTCCTTCTAGGCACGGACCCGTGACCTGACTTCCTTCCACATAGCCCCACCTTTTAAAGGTGGTGACCGAGACTTCAACACATGGCCTTTCAGGACATTTGAGATCCAAACCATGATATGTGCTTATTGAGCTCCCGTTGTTCCCATCTTCCTTCCTCTTTGGTGACTTCTGTGTCCTTCGATGCACATGCACCATGCAGAAGACTTCCCACCCTGCCACTGCAGCACTCTCATGTCCCAGTGCCAAAAGAAGGGACGGCAAAGTCCTACTGAAAGAGAGAATCCTCCATTCACCCACAGGTGTCCCTCAGAGCAGGCTTCTGTCTGATTGACACCCACTCCATCAAGCCCACTTTTTGGTTTCCAGTTTGATGCTACAGTTCTGGGGTTTGCTGACTAGGAAGGTGAGATGGTTAGCTCTATATAATGCAGACAGCGGGCTTTGAAAGGCTGTGGGGGTGGAGAGCAGCGTAGGGCTATACAGGGTAGAGGCAGATAGCACTGGAACTTTTAGGAGATCCTGAGGCCCACATGCAGTTAAGTTCAGGAATCAGTGTTTATGTTAATGCCCAGAGACACCCACACCAGCTTCAATTACTGCATGACTAAGAAACAGGCAGTCAGTTGTAAGGCGATCCAGCTTTCAAAGGGAAAAATCACCACCAGCAGCATTGAACTTGGGGAGGGAGGAATATGTCTTAGATTCAAGGAGGCTTTGTTCAGAAGTGCCTCTTTGGTTAGTGGGATGGTTGAGATCTGTTTCAAGAAGGCAGGAATCTGCACAAAGCTGAGCCCCTAAAACCTCAAGAGACAATCTTTCTCTACCAGGATGAAGGTTGTATGGAGATGTCGTTTCATCTTCAACACCTTTAACAAAATTTAAACTGATTTGTGTACACATGGTTCTAAAGTGAGTTCTATATGACATTTACTTGCCTTGGGCCATTGAGTTTCCTGGTCAGCTGTCCTCTCTGGGCTTGTGTGTCTACTATTCGTGGTTTTCTTGCTCTTCTTTTGCAATTTGGGTGACAGAGTCCTGCAGCTGTGCTGGTCCTTCTTGGCAACCATTCAGCACATTCTGGCTTAATGTGAACTAAAGTACCACGTTGTTAGGGCTGTGCCCATGGTGGGCCAGTTGCTCAAGAAGGGCTCCTTGAAGGCCACCAAAGATCTGTGGGTCTCCTTCATTCCGGGAAAGAAGCAGGAGAGCGCCTCTTCTATAAAATTGGTTTATACCAGAGACACTTTCTGGTGGGGCAGGTAGAGTGCCCTCGTCTACCCCAGGTTCACGCCTGGTCTCAGCTGGTGCGGATGATGGATTGCTGAGGGGCCTGCTCTCCCACACCTGCCCTGCTGCTTGGGTCGGCTTAGGATGTGCTTTTGACTGTGGAGAATGTCCTGCATGAAAACCTGTCCCCAAGGCCCTCAGTTGAGCAGGTCAAGGTCAAGAGCAGACAGTCTGGAGTGGCCCACTCTCCTGATCCTCTTCCTGCCAGCCAGCATACCTACCACACATGATTTGTGTACACATGATTCTAAAGCGAGTTCTATGTGACAATTACCTGCCTTGGGCCACTGAGTGTCACACACAGAGCCACTCCTGGGAGAATGTGCATGAACCCGCCTTCCTGAAGCCCACCTGGGTCAGCCCCCATGTCCAGGACATGACTTACAATACCTTCCCCAGAATCGTATCCATATGCTCCCAAAGACACTATGGCTCAGCCCATCTGTTGAACTCTCTGCTGGAAGCTTTTGTCTAATAGGCACAATGACGTCCTTCCCTGAAAACAACTGGCTTTGTGCTGGCTATTCAGGATTTTGATTAAGGAGTCCTGAAGACAAAAGAAATTAATAAAGTAATGTTTGATTCAGTGTGAGGTTGTGTTTGGGAAGAACGTGGGCACCACCCAGGAGGGGCTCAGAGGTCATGTCCGAAGCCTGGGTAACGTTTCGCCTAGGAGGTGGCTGGTGGGTGCCCTGTTAACTTGACATTGGAAATTGACAGTGAGTTTGAGGAGAGCATAGACAGGCCCCACATTATGGTCCAAGGGTCTCTTCTGTGAGTCAAGGATATGAAATTGGTCGAAGCCATTCATAGCTGTCAGACAGAACACTTTCATTGGTTTTCTTTCACCCTGGTCCACAGCTCAATTCTGGGATAGGCAGGGTTGCTGGATGGTTGAGCTGTGGACTCTCAACAGACTTTAGGAAAAGGAATAGGAGAACGTTACTCTAAAGGAAATTTGTGCTACCGCAGCTCTGCCACACGCCAGACCCAGGAAGAAGGCACAAAGCTTTAGTGGAGAAATAGAAATGCCGGACACAGGCCACTTCAGAGCCCACAGTGGCTACGGGTCTTCCCTGGGGTGAGGTGGTTTACAACGTAGGGCACGACTAAAGAGCTCTTAATTCCAGTCTGTCTGCGTAGTGTGCGGGCGGAGACGGGGCACATGCTCACCCTGCGAAGGCCTGCCTGCGACACCGTCCTGCTCTGCATTTCAGAGTCCACAAAAAGAGGCCCAATCCAAAAGCTGTGGGAAAGCTCTTCCTTGGCCACATGTTTTTCTTTTCTCCAGTAAGCGAACTCCGCTCTACTTTCTGCCATGGGTTTAGTGCTCTCGAGCCACTAGTGGAACTTCTGCCGCATACAGGGCCACTCCCAGGAGAATGTGCATGGACCTACGGCAGCGGCAGCTCTCCGTCAGTGCAGAGACCCCAGCAGTCAGCACCCGGGGAAAAGCTGGTCTGGATCCCAGTGTGGGAGGCTGTAGTCCACAGTTGGGTGGATCCCTGGTGTTGGGGCCCTGAGTGCAGGTGGGCAGTGCATCCTGATGAGAGCTCATCGGAGAGCAGACCATTCACCTCCTGGTTGGGGTAGAGGAGAGCGGAGGAGTGGCCAGCCGCCCAAATCCCCCTCCCACCTCCGTCCTCCACCAGGCCACTGCTTGAGGTTCCACCACTTCCAGTGGCACCAACTGAGGCTTTAGTACAAGGACTTTGGGGGGCCATTTAGGATCCAAACTCCAACAGACAGACAGATGATAGACGAAAAGGTCAATAGGTAATACACAGATGAAAATGTTGATTGATTTATGTCCATGAATCTGTAAATAAATCCACCAGCTTAAAGAACCAAACCAGGATGGATCTATGCCATCAGCCAGACTGAGTCTCTCATCACTGATAACTAATTTGTTTCTGGATTCTTTAAGAGAGCTTCGAATCAAAAGAGGCCACGTAGAAAGGAGTGACTATTTTAGTGACTATTTTTCTGCCTACTTGTTTTTTACTTAAATAGAATTGATGATTTTTGAGGTAAACGTTTGGAAAGCTCTTTCTGTACAATTTAGCAAAGTGCAACTTTGCCACTAGTGGATCAATCTCCTCTCCAAATGACAAGATCTAATAACAATTGCCTTTTTTGTTGATTTATTTTATTATGTACTTTTTAATCCTTTCAATGTGTCAACCCCCCCTGGAACCTGGTTGGAACGTCATGACATTTTGTTTGTTCAGAAGAACATGGAAAACTCAGTTTACCCCCTGGGTGAATCAGACCTTGAGCTGCCAAGTTGACTCTCCTGGGCTGGACCCCAGAGCCAGGAGGGTGCTGGGGGCGGGGGCTTGGTCCCAGAGTCTTTGTGCTTCTCACAGGCGGAGGGCCTGGCCTCACCAGAAGTGCATTCCCTCGGCTGGGACGCAGAGGCTCAGGCGGACGGGCCAGGAGGCTCTGCTGTACCAAGGCCTTGCTGGGAGCTCGGGGCTGTTGGCAGAGTGGGAGGTCATGCCCCTTTCTTTACTGTGGAGAAGGGACTGGAGGGAACAGAGCGAGAGTCCCCTAACGACTTTTGTCACAGAGATCATTCCGCATGGACTCATTCTTTTTAACTGCTGTGAAGCATGTCACACATGATTTACTGACCCTGTCCACTGCTGGTGGGTGCGAGGCAGTGTCCAGCTCTGCTGCTGCGGCACGGAGGCGGGCAGCACACCGGACACGCCTGTGGGCCCACTGCCTGCGGACTGTGCAGTGACCTGATGAGGCAGGTCGACCTCTGTGCTGGCCCCAGGACCTTGCCTGATAACAATAACAGTGCCTATTAAATGCTGGTACTGAACCAAACACTTCACGTGCATTATTATTACGTTAGTACCTCCACTTTAATAGTTGATATTTTTGATATATATATAATCAAGTAAACTATATAAAATATATATTTCATTTTATTATATAAAGTGAGTGATGTAAAGAATTACATGAATGCCATTTAATATTATTAATTTATTATATTATCATCTACATTATAGTGGAGGCTGGGTAGTGCAGACATGGGATTTGAACCCAGGTACTTTGGCCCCATAGTTGAGGTGCTAAACCTCCCACGGGGCCCTGACTGCAAAGCTCTCCGCCGTTTCCAGAGCAGGGGGCAGTAGACCTCAGTACTTCAGATGTGGTCTTGGCCGATATTTTGAGCACAACTTTCATTTTATTTTTAGTAGAAACAAAAGTATATTCTGGAAGCACCAAGGAGCAGCACGGAGCAGCGGGTGTGTCATTGTCTGCTCCCCCCGAGGAACAGAAGCCCATTAAACCTTTCCCTCCCGATGGGGACAGGCCACCAAGCGATGACTGTGAGTCTAGCGACCTTTTTGAGCCCAGAGAGAGACAACATCCAAGCCTCCTGAGTCCCAAAGTCCCTATGCCTGGGTTTCTGTGCCCCTCGCAAGAGGCAAGGCCGACTCTGCAGGAAGACAATGGTGCTCAGATAGAAAGAGGGCTTCCCGAAGGTAAGGAGCAGGGGCGGTCCAGGGGGTCCTTCTTGATGCTCTGGGAGGCAGCGCAGAGCCTTCCCTGCTGCGGCTCACCTGCTGGCCTCACGGAGGCCTGAGAGCAGAGAGGGAGCAGAGCATCAGGCTTCACGGCAGCCGAGCTCTACCTTGTGCGCAGCCAGAGGCAGCCCCACGTGGGCCATGGGTCCCCACCCTGCCTGGAACAAAGCTGGTACAGACTGAGGCTGAAAGGCCACCCACAGGTGCACAGCAGGCTCCCTGGCTTTGCTAAGAAATGGCTGCTGGGGAGACAGCCTGCCCGCCAGACTGACCCAGGCCCAGTGATTCATGGGCAGGGACCACGGTGTAGGGGTGTGGCCATGTGACACTTAACAGTATGAGCACATGGACCTCCATGCCTCCAGGCAGGTCCCTCTCAGAGGAGGGAACCCAGTCGGACACAGGTACACTCTCTCGGGCGGTCGAGCTGCTGGCCACCTGAATGTGCAGAGAACACGATGCATAAACAGAGACAAGTGTGTGATGGGATGGTCTGGGTGCCCTGTCACGTCAGCATAAGAACAGGGTTTCCTGTTACTCTAAAGATGTTCTCAAACAACTACAGACAGGGCAGAAAGAAAGAGGCCTGATCATAATTAATAAAAAGTCGTGTCACTCGGAACCTAGATTAATCCCTAACTCTTCCCTCATTAGCCATCACAGAAGCAGTTATTAAACGGCCACTGCACGCCCGGCTCCGGGGTCGGTGCGTCCACTCCAGGCTCTCAGTCCTGTGCGGAAGGGTCAGCAGCAGGGCTGCTGCGTCTGAGGGGTGCCCAGAGGAAGCCGAGGACGGCCCTGGCACTCGGGGACGGTCTGGGCAGAAGCGTCTTCCCCTCAAAAATGGTTTTGAAGAGAAGGTGAAGCCTTCCCTGAAACCTTAGAGATTTAAAAGTCAGACCAGGGGAGGCTCCCACCCTCAGAGCTCGGGAAAGGCAAGGGCTAACAACGGAGCAGCAAGGGGCATGCCAGGTGCCATGTGCAGGGCCGGGGCCTGGAGTGGTCATCAAGGGTCCCATGGGTCAGGTCAGAAGATTCGCTCTAAAGGTACTGTCTCAGGAGCAGAGTGGGCGCACAGGAGCAGGGCAAGGCTGAGCCGAGACCCAGTAGGAAAGGACAGCAGAGGGTCACTGGGTGGAAGGGGCACTGTGGTAGAGACCTTCTGCATCTGACAGACAGGTCTTATGATGAGCAGCGAGAAAGACAGGATTGTTAAGACTGGCCCCCTGGCAGCTGGTTATGCGGTGGGGACAGCAGTGGAGAGGGAGCCAGCGGCCTGTGGCTTCCCCGTGAGCTGGAGAACACCTCCCAGCAAGGCCTGGGGTCATGTGGGACAGGGCCAGCCTCTCGGCTGAGTGCTAGCTCTCAGCCAACTGGGCCTCGTGGTCACTCCTAAAGTGGAGGGGCCATGGGGAAGTCCTCCAGTGGGACGAGAGCAAAGGACAGATGGTGTGGGAGCCTCTAATGGAGTGGTGTTGGAGAGAATGTCAGTGAGGTGGACACTCACATGGTGAAGGCCCGAAGGTCTAGTCAGCTTGGGCTGTGGGAGTAGGGAATGTTGATGGATTTTGAGTGGACAGTACAGCTAGTCATGCCACAGAGGATAAAGTGACAGTGACAGCCTGGTTTGTATGAGCTGTATCTGGTGGCCCGTGAGACTCCTGAGGCCACCTCACCTCTCCTAGAAGGGCTAACTTCTTTTAAGCACCTGGTGTGGATCTCTGGGCAGATGGAGACTGAGTAGGACGTGGTCCAGCCCCTGGAGAGCCTCAGGCGGGTGGGGTTAAACCGCATCTTCTGACCCCACCTCATGGCACATGCTGCTGGGTGGGCGCAAGGTGCTCCTCTGCAGAAACACAGCAGTCAGGCATGGGCTCTGCCTGGAGAGGGAGGAGGCTCCTGAACGTTGGAAGCTTGGAGCTGGGGCTGCAGGCTGGACATCACGGGGCAGTGGAGTCAAAGGGGTGTGTGCAGGTGGGAAATGAGGAAGGTGCTGCCAAGCCCAGGGCAAGGGGTGGTGTGGCTGTGGTCGGGTGGGGAGGGTGCAGGTGGAGCAGCAGAGGGAGCCTGGGAAGGCGGGGCTCAGGATAGAGACCCCTCATGTGTCCCAGGCCAAGTGCTGGTCAGGAAGGGGCCAGTGAATGCCGTGAATCTCCCTCCTGCCTCCTCAGAGGCTGCCCTACCTGAGGGGCTGAGGAATCTACTCATAGACTGTTTCCACGAAGGAAAATCAAAATGGCCCCAGGAAGGGAGTGGAACCAGCCCTGGGAGAGCACTCATTCCAGTTACTTCTGTAAAGCCGGCAGCAGACTGTGGAAAGCCAAGGGGAGGATGAGTGACCGTCCCCCGTCCTCATGTCATCCCCGCGGCAAACGCGAGGCAGATGAACACGCTGTCCTGAAACAACCCAACCGCGGCCTCGCACAGGGCACCCTTGATAGGAAGCCCAGAAGAGGAAAGTTTCTTCCCAATCTGAGCCAGGCCTTCTAAACACCAGGAGCAGGAGACACCTCCGTGACACAGTCAGCCAGTCGTGAGGTGGAGATGACTGAAGGTTCTTCCTCGGGACCATTGCTGCCTGGAGGGTCTGGGACGAGGCCTCCTCGTTGGCTTGACGAGGACCATTACTAACCCACCGGCGTGTCTATTTTCAGAACTGTCTTCGGTGTCTAATAGTGTGGAGGAGCAGGTGAGGATCCTTCGGTGCCCTCTAAATGCAATTCTGCATTTCTCCTAGGAGAGTACACGTGCTGTGACCTGGTTGTAAAAATAAAAGAATGTAAGAAGAGTGAGGACCCCACGGTGCCCGAGCCCCCACCAGCGCCGCCCTCACCAGCGCCGCCCTCACCAGCAGCACCCCAGGGAGCAGAGACCCTGGACCTGTCACAAGAGGGTTCTGAGCTTGAGCAAACGCCTGCCAACTCCTTGACCTTGCAGGTAAGGCCTCTGTGTGTCCCGCCAGATTCCTGCCGGGGGGGAAGGCCTTCCCTGGCCTCTGAGGCTGGAAGCTGATCCCCCTTCCTGGAGGCTGTGGGACACTGGGCAGTTTCCCTAACCTTTCTGAGCCTCTGCTTCACTGTTTGATGAATGGATCTAGAGACACTGACTCCAGGTTAGAATCAGGATCAAATGCTATCCACAGTGACAGCGATCATAGCGATGACAGAGGGGCTCAAAGTTTACACAGGACGCTTTATAGGCCTCAGCACCTTTGATCCTCAAATGACCCTTAGCAGGCAGGAGTCCCTAAATACCCCATCTTCAGATGGGACTTTGAAAGATTAAGGAAGCTTCCAAAAACAGGTGGCCATGACATGAAGGATAGAGATGATGTGACTGGATGTTTCCTAACTATAAAAATGGTATGTGCACATTTTTTAAAGTTATAAAAATTAGGAGGGCAAGTGAACTCAGACCTGCCATGGTGTATTGATGGCCAGCCACACCCCACTGCAGGCGCTGCTGTGAATGTCCCTGCAGAGGCAGAGATGGCTCCACTGGTCAGCTCCTGCACCCTGGGGCCTCAGTGGGCCCTGTGAAGTGTTCATGGTGCCCCGAAGCTTCTGAGGCTCCAGGGCTATCCTCGGGTGGGAGGACAGCTGTGTAGCGGCCACTCTTGGGCCAGCAAGGTGTCCATAGGGACCTCCTCTGACATTAGTACATCCAGGGGCAGGTGCCTTGTCCCACCAGCAGCCACAGCTGGCATATGGCAAAGAGACTCCTCTTCTGCCACAGCTGCCAGGGACACATATGTGACACAGATGGAAGCCACCATGGCCTGTTCCAGGGAGCCCTGAGTTCCAGTGGGGCAGGGGAGGATAGGTCAGAGCAGCATGCCCAGAGAGCCTTTGCGGAGCTCCGGGCAGGGCCTATGAGAGAGATGTTGTCAGTGGGACATGCCCGGGCCTCCCAGGGCTCACAGCCTCCCATGGAGAAAAGCAGGTGTGATTCATCATTGCACAAGGTGGCCTCTGAGGCCCTGGGATGCTCGGGCTAAACAGGAAGATCCAACAGGGCTTACTAGCAGGGACAGAACTCAGCCAGCGGCATGGCTGTGCATGGTAGCCCAGACAGGGGGACGGCTTGGGCTGAGACATTCAGAGACCAGGAGTTACATCAGGAAAGGTGGCACAGGAAAAAGCACAGGACTGGCACAGCTGAGGGCCACCATGCCATCTTCTAAGCTACCAGCTACTTCTGTGATTGCATCTGTCCAGTGGAATAAACACACCTGCCTTCCAGAAAGAATGTGGGGGTTCCAAGGGACAAGTCCCCAGAGAGCACCTAGCCAGGTCTGGCAGGGTGGCCCTCAGTCTCTTCAGCAAACCTGTGTGAGTGGCTTAGCATAGGGAGGTGGGCTTAGCATAGGGCTCACATGGTGTGGTAGGACTTCCGACCTGTCCTGGAGCCCAGAGACCATTCTGCACAGGCAGAGATTCGCTCCCAGCGCTTCCACCCGGGGAGAGCTGCTTCCCCCAGCCACGGTCATGGCCTCTCCTGAAAGGCCCGTTTCCACCTGGTTGGATGGGTGATGTATGTTTGTGGCCTTAAAGGCTTCAACCCCCCCCCCCCAGGAGAAAGTGACTCAGAGCTTGCATTCTGTCCCCACCCATGTCTCTCTGGAATGGGGGACACCGGGCACTCAGCTCTGGGTCTGTTGGCCACGAGCGGCTTGAGTGGTGGAAGTAAAAGGGGCAGCTGTTCTCATGATCTGGGTGCTAGTTTCTGCTGTGTGCCACTGCACCGGGGCTCTGGGTGCTGGCCAGAACTGACCACCAGGACCCGTGTTGTCCACACAACTGTACCCTTGAGGTCATGGCAGAAAATTGTCTCTGAACGTCATACTTTTGATTGACTTCTCTTGGCCAGATCGATGGGCGTGTTCCCTTTTGATGTCGCTTATCCTAAAAGTAAAACTTTTCCCGTGTCCCACCAGGAAGCTCTGGAGGCCCACAGGCCTCAGTTCATCTCTCGCTCTCAAGAGCGGCTGAGAAAGCTGGAGCGCAGGGTGCAGCAGAGGAAGGCCCAGCAGACGGAGTGCCCAGAGCAGAAGCAGAGCCGGCTCCCCGTGCGCGCCAACAAGAAGCAGTTCACCGTGCCCCATCCTCTCAGTGGTGAGCCACAGGTGGCTGGGAGGTGGAGGAGGCAGGGAGGGGACCCTGGGGCCGGAGCTTTCTCCTGGGAGGGTGGTTCCGAACAATGCCATTGACACGTGCAGAGACAACCCTTGGTGTCATGGAGCCTGTTCTGGGACCAGCCCATTTTGAGACATTCCACGTGGGCATCTCACTCCTCAGAAAAATCACGGGACACAGCTTACCACTCTAGCTGGGAACGAAGCCACACCACCCCAGCAGCCAGGACAGCAAGTTCACACTCCTGGCTCCTAGCTCGTGTTTGCAGGAGATCCCCTTTGCCCTTTATAGATGGCAAAACACGTCTCAGGGCCAGACTGCGGCTTGTCCACATCAACATTCGTCATCTTGAAACCCCTTCCCCGCTGCGAGCTCAGACAAGGGGTGGCCAGCTCGTGGGTCACTGTGAGGCCAGGGCCGAGCTGCCCTGGGAGAAAGGGCACTCAGTCTCATGGGAGAAGGAGTTACCAGGAACCTTCTCGAGGCCAGCATCATGCAGGGAGCTGGGAACACCACAGTGAGCAAGACTGACCTCAGTCCCTCTCTCATGGACCTTATAAACAGACTATGACACTGGCAAGAATCCCAAGAAAAGAGGAGGCAGGGGTGGGGACACTAGAGTGCCCACTTCACAGCCTGCCAACCCACCTGTGGGACTCAAGAGGCCTGGAGAAGCCTCAGTTTTATTCCTTTGGACCAAGGAACGAGTTCTGTCTTCCTAGGAAAACGTTTTGGACCCCAGGAGGGGAAATCATGAGTAAAATTCTAAATAAAATCCCTCTGGGGAAATGACCGTATTCAACAAAGTGCAGCTCAGCAGACATTACCAAGGTCCCATAAGGGGCATTGGGGGGACGGGGGAAAGGGGGTTACCATAGAATTCCTCCTGCTCCCCTGGTCCTTGGCAGAGGACTGTCTGGCCTCAGCTCCACAAAGAGCAACCGGGTTCAGGCACAGACTTCTCAAGGTGCTGCAAGGTCTGAAAGCCAGCCACCGTCTTGCAGTGCTGGGCTTGCTCTGGGCAGGCTGGGTGGTGGTGTCCGTGCTGAATGGCCACTAACTCTCTCCAGTTCTGATGATGCTGCTGGATAAAGATGGCCATGCAACCAAAGCTAATGCCAGCAAACACAATATGAGATCACTTTAGAGTGTGCCCTACTCAGATTCACGGACTAATGGATCTAAGGGTCTTCCCTTTCGGCCAAGTGTCTTCACTCTGTGTAGGAAGGAACGGAGAGCCGGGGCAGAAGGAAACTTGTGTAGTGTGGTGGTGTTTGGTAGCTTTCTGTCACTGTAACAAATACCCAAGATAAGTCAACTTAAAAACAGAAAAGGTCTATGTTTTCTCACAGTGTGGGAGGTTTCAGTCCGTGGTTGGTCGGCCCTGGTGCTCTTGGCCCTGTGATTGGTGGCACATCATGGTGGAATTGTGTGTGGTGGGAAAAGTTGCTCACTTCCCAGCAGCCAGGAAGCATAAGGGAGAAAGACTCACCAGGACTCTACCCTTTTGAAGGCACCGTCTTTGGGACCTGAACCCTCCTGCCAGGCCTGCTTATTAAAGTTCCCGTTACCTTCCAAGAGCTCCAGCAGGGGCACATTTCAGACCCAAACCTACAAGGTACCAGGATGGGTCCCTTCTCTCCCGGGCTGGGGCTTCCAAGTGTCCTGAGTGTCCCAGGTGATGTACACTCATTCTGGGGCCAGAAGTCCAAATCGAGTGTCTGGAGAGTTGCCTCCTCCTGGAGACCCAGGGGAAGGTCCCATGGCCCCCTCTCAGCTTCCATCGCTGCTCCCGGCTGTCCTGGCGACCTTGGCTGGGAGCGCCTCCCTGCCTCCCCTCTCTGCCTCTGTCTTCTTGCGGCCTCCTCCTGTGTCCTGATTTCTTCTTCTCATTCGTGGGGCTGGGGTCCACCTAACCCAGCAGGACCTCATCTCAATTTGACTCTATCTGCAAGGACCATATTTCTAAGAAGGTCACAACAAGATCTAGCCTCAGCTAGTTCACGTTGAGACGCAGGGCGTGGGGGCTGGACTCTGGTGTATTCTTGGGGGCGGGGAAGGTCACAATTCAGCATCAATTAACTTTGATGTTTCCCCTAAAACAATCATCCTCACAAGTTCACCTTCTTATAAATGAAAATCTTAAAGCTGTGTATAATAAAAAGGGGATCCAGCCCCGTCAGTGGCGTTAACTAACTGAGGCACCCTTTTACACCCCAAATTCCAAGACAGGCCTGGCGACTGGAATGTGCTCAAGGGGACGTGGCCGGCCTGGGTTTGTGGCCACTCCTGCCTGTCGTCCTCGAGGTACTTAGGTGAGATGAGAGCTTTGCTTTCATGTTTGCTTGCGTCAGGTCAGTTAAATCAGACATCTTCTGAAATCGGAGCCTCGTGTGAGCTCAGGCAAGTGAGAGGGGACGTTTAAGGGCCCGTTAAACAAGTCTGCAGTGCATATCTCGTCTTCAGCCTGTCTGCTGGCAGGATGATAAAAGCGAGATGCAGATGTTTTTCTTACATGCTAAATTAGTTAATAAATCATAGCGTGAGCGCGCGCTGGCTGCCGTGTCAAGGCGTCTGCTAAGAAGACTCAGGCTGGCTTTTGGTGCTGGGCTCCCTGCCTCTGATCAGGGCTTACAGCAGGCTTGGCTCAGGGACAGATCCGGAGGTTCAGGTGGGAGCTCGAGCCGCTGCCAAAGCCAGGAGATGCAAGTCCCTGAGTTTGCAGGAATGATTCAGGCAAGGCCGGGGGGCAGGTGTTTCAGGTTTACAGATGAATTCTGAGCAGCTCTGAGGTTCAGGGTCGAGTGCTGTGTGTGTGTGTGAGAGAGAGAGTGTGTGTTGATGAGGGTGAGAAGTCCCTGTGTGGGGCAGGGGAATGTTCATGGATGATTGGAGGTGACAGAGGGACCAGGAGGCAGCATATGAAGGGCCTGGCCGTAGTCGCCGGCTCCTGATGGAGGAGACCTCCATGCGGTCGGGTGAGTAGAAAGGACGAGGCGGGTCACGGTGCAGCTGGGTGAGGAGGTGGAAGCACAGCGTGAGAGGTCCCAGAGGTGCTCAGTTCATCTGTGGGGCGGGGGGAGGAGATGCAGAGGACAAAGAGCTCCAGGGACGTGAGGCCCAGGAGGCTAGTGGACACTACATGCACCACTTCTGAGTGGTGTGCCACTGCCTCACTGGGAACTGAGGCAAGGTGTGGTCAGGTGCAGGGGGCGAGGGGGTCATCAGGAGAAGGCGCAGAGGCTGAGACCTGGAGGAGGGGAGCTGAGATGGAGGACAGGAGGGAGGTGGCGGAGGGCTTTGCTTTCAGCCTCTCACAAGACCAAGTCTCCGACATGAGGGCCCCTCTCTTGCCCAAGCCTGGGCTCCACCGGGTCAGTCCCCTAGAGTTACCTAGGGGCCATGAAAAGGCTCTTCCGTCATTGCCACACAGTGCCCGGGGATTGGGTCATGTTCAGAGGCCAGCCTTGCAGATGACATCCAAAGTCGGACGGTGTGAAAGCAAGTGGGAAGCATCAGCACCTGAGGCAGAAGAGGTCCAGCCCCTGTAGACAGAAGGGGTACAACACCTGCAGGCAGCTGGGTTCAGTACCTGTGGCCAGTGGGTGGCAACCCTCACCATCCCATTGGCATGTTTATGGCTTCACCCTACACCCACCGCAACTCCTCAAACTTGTCCCTAACCATCTCCCACTGAGATGGGTACCCAGCTTCAGAGCCTCCCTGGAGCCCAGGCCCCTCCCCACCTGACCCTGCCACCCCAGCCCCACCTGGTTGGTCCCGTTTGCTATTCTTCCTTAACCCAGGAGCATTCACACATGGGGAACCAATCCACTCTCTGAATCCCACCGTCCTGCCTGACCTCACAGGCCTGCTCCAGTCCAGCCCCTCTCCGTTGGACTCCTACCCCAGGCCATTTCCTCTGCTCCCTATGACATGTGACCTGGCCTGCGCTGGCTTTCACTTCTCAGCTGAGAGCTTTTGCTAGGGATGATTTTTTTTTTTTTGCTTCTACCTGTGCTCAATGCTGCAGCAACATGGAAAGCCAAACAGTGCCCAGACTCAGTCCGTGTGGCCTGGCCACTTTCCTATCTGCCCGTCGGGGTGCTCTTCATGGCTCTCCGGTGAGCAGAAAACCCCTAAGGGGCATCCCCTTCCTCCTTGAAGCCCTCCCTGTCCCCATCCTCCCTGACCCGACCCCACTGCCATTTGCTCACTCGTGGCTCATGTTCTTGTAAATCGCCTTTTCCTTCTTCACTTTGAATTAGGGTCCTGTGGGTGTGCTGGGGAGACCTCCCTAGACTGGAAGCACTAGTGAGCATGCACTAGTGGCCCCGAGACTCCCCACTGCACCTCTCACATCACACTGAGTTAATCTGAATTGCATTATCCACACTTCCCAAAGGGAGCCAAGTCAGAGCCATTCAAATCACGGACCAGTAGAGGAATGGAATTTTCCAGAAGGCGCTGCAAATTTCCTTCTCCAGGAGAGCTGCCTTCACTGATGGTTCCTGGCTGGAGCCTGTATTAACATGAATTTGCATTCCCAGAGCATCTAGCTGGAAATGTGACCCAGCAGATAGGAGATGGCAGCAGAAGTCATCATGGTAACAAAAATGTGCCGTTCATCACGCAGCAGCTGAGCAGGGGCCGCCACATCCTTCTGATCGCCTGAACCCATCTCATGAATGTTTTTCCATAAAACATTTAAATAAATATTTGTGGTTAGTACTCCCAATATTAATCACAAAGGAATTTCAAAATGTACTTATCAGATGAAAGTAATTTTTTTTTATTTTATCCATCCACAGAGAAAACAGGAAGCCTGAGTTACTTAAAAACTGTTTCCCATGCACACTATCACTAGTGCCCTTCAGACACTGTGACTGTGCAACAGCGTGCTGCATCTTTAAAAGAAACGTGGGAACAAAAGACTGATTTATGCCTATAGGTTAGAATTAGAATAAAGAACAAAGAAA